TTGAAGGAATCAACACACCCCCAAGATCACTCACTAATAGCACGAGAAGAGGATTACAAGCAATGATCACTCAAAGATCAAAAACTCAAGTTTAAGCTCAAGTAGGTAGGTAAAGATCTGCAATGTGTTCATCTCTAAACTTCTTCAGATCCATATTTATAGCCCTTTGCTCGAAAATAGCCGTTTCTAACTGTTGGGGGTCATTAAATGCTCTGCAGGACGCAAAGCTCGAGCTGCAGGTTTGTCAGGAGAGTCGGCTTAGCTTTCTAGAGCCGGCTCTGCAGAGCCAACTTACACTTTCAGAGCTGGCTATCCGGGTTTGCAGGCCATTCTGTTTTCCTCGGGAGCCGGCTGCAAGACTTTGAGCCGGCTTTGGAATTCCGATTTTAAATACATTCAAAAGAGTCGACTGTTGTGCATTAAATGCACCCTCACAGCCGGCTACAAAGTGGGAGCTGGCTTTGCGTCTTTTCTCCGCGCACGCCAAACAACAGTCTTCAAATTTTTGCCTGTAAAGCCGGCTGCAGCTTCCAGAGCCGGCTCTCTGCCATTTTGAATCCTTTTGGTCTATTTTTAGTGCGATCCAAGTTTACTTGCAATCTTTTAGCAACTTAACTACACACTTAAATCAACCAATTAATCATTCAAATGTGTTTTGTAATCATAAAAATCATAGGTACAACAATAAATACTCATTCATATTTTGCTCTTTATTGTAGATGAATAAAAACCCATGAATCCAAGCTTATGGGGCTTATTCAAGATAAACTATAAGAGTAGTGGCTTGATAAGCATGGATGGATGAACGTTGCCCATTTGGCAATGTAAGGTATTCACATTAACTAAGCTTGGAGCTGGCGATATTGCTTGACTTTGCCAAGAAAGGCTAGGTGGCAAACATGTGAAGGCAAGACTTAACCCCAAAACTACACCATTTGATGCTAACTAAAAGGCCTTGAATCCCATTAAAAATCAACCAAAGATGCCATTTGAGTCTCCACCACCAATTTGCAGCTATATTTAATGTTTAGGTCATTGCACAAGTTTCACTGCATTGGAAACTGATGAAAAAGATTATATTTTACTTGGGGAAATC